GAGCTGTTTGCAGGCTCATGGCCCTCTTCTTGGCCATTTGGTGTTGGAATTTCTGCGGGGCTATACTGGGTCCTCTTGGCTTCTCACTGCTCTTCTTGGTGGTCTAGTTCATGGCCAAGGGCTTGCCTACTGTACAGGTACTGTTGGCTCTGAAATTCACATTTTCAGCCTGACCTCTCAACTGCAGGCTGGTTATTTCTAGCAGCATACTTGGATGTCTCAAAGGTATTTTATACTGAATGTGTCCAACACCAAACTCAAGATATCCCACTCCTCTGGCTACTTCTCCCTTCATATTTTCCATCCCCATGGATTGTTCCAGCCTCTGTCTGTTATTCAAGTCAGACATACAAGGGCTGTCTTTACACCACCGTTATGCCTCATTTCCAATCAGTGGCCACACCTGTCACTTCTACCCCCAAATACCTTGGTTGCATCCACTTCTCCCCACTTCCAACCCCACCACCTACTCCAAGCCACCATCGTCTCCATCTTGGTCTTCTGAAGTAGCTTCCTCACTCCTTTCTCCAGTGCATCCCTTGCCTCTACCAGTCTGTCCTTCATGCTATGGCAGGAGTGGTGTTTGAGAAAGGCCAAGATGCTCCTGTCCCTCCCCTGCCCAACATCCTCCGGTGGCCTCCCCTCACTGCTGAGACAGAGAAATTTACCTTGGCCCCGGGTCCCGCATGGTCTTTCTTGACCACCTCTCCAGCCTGATCTCATATCACTTTCCTTGTGCTTCACTTTTCCTCTGTGCTCCATCACACTGACTAGCTTCTTTAGTGTTTTGAATGTGTTATGTTCCCTCCTGCCCCAGGACCTTTGCACTTGCTGCTTCCTCTTCCTTTCAGTTAGTTAATTCCTACTCATCTTTCAGATCTCCATCCAAACAATGGTTTCTCAGGGAAGTCTTCACTCATCCCTAGACCAGGTCTGGTGTCCCTATGAACTTTTGCAACACCATTTAGCTTTCCTTCACTGTGTCTATCGTACCTTTTAATCATACAATTATGTGTAAGATTGTTTGAACAGTGGTCCTTTTTTTTTAAAACCACTTAACTGTAAGCCTCAAGAGGGAGAGTTTTTTTTTTTTCCTGAGGACTGTGTCCTCAGTCCAGGAAAGGAGGAGCGCCATAATCATTGTCAAATGAAAAAATAAATGAATGAATGCTTAAAGATCTTTTAAGACAAAAATGGGGAACTGGAAGATAGTTTCAATACTGTGGAAAACTCAGTAAGAAAACATGTATTTGTTTGATATTTGGCTAGGACGGTTAAAAAGTTATTTACTTATTTGCTATGGAAAAACTCAGATAAACTTTGTGAGGTCACCTTTTCTTGGTACCACTTCCTAACTGAACTGTGAAGGGGCTTCCACACTCCAGATGGAGGGCTGTGATGGGGGAATTACAGACTGTGAGCTCCAGGGATGGGGACTGAGTCTTCATCTCTTTAATTCATCTCTGATGTTCAGTACAATGTCGACCGAGCAGGTATTTAGCAAATATCAATGATGACACACACTGCTAATTGCTTTCCGAGAACAATTCCTTTGCTTGCTAAGAAAACCCTGACTTTGGTTGGGGACTCAAAGTGCCCGGTCTCAGGTGATGACTCACGGTCTGTTGAAGCCTAGCATGGGCAGTTTTTTCCCTTTACCCTGATACTGGAAACATTTTGCAGTCTGCCTTGTAGCTAGGGGTGGCCACGTGGTTCCCTTCTGGCTAAGGAGACATAAGGTCCTTCTAAGATTTTCTTCACTGGTGACAGGTGAGAGACACATCAAGAAAAGTCCTGCTGACATCGTCTCCCCCCATTTTTCTCCTGGAGTTTGAACTTGGTCATGATGCCTAAAGCTGTAACAGCCATCCTGTGGCCATGAGGCTCCAAGGGCACAAAGCCACAGCCTTGAGAAGGTGGAGCATTTGGATAAAAAGATGAAAAGATTCTGGGTCCTCAGTTGTATCACTGAGCTTTTGTACCAGCCCTTGCCAGCTCCCTCTGAATTTCCTGTTATGTATGTCTTGAGTGCATAAAACACGAATAGTCAGGCTTTCCGTTATGCACAGCTGATAGCACCCTTAATCAATATATTTATTTAAAATTTCTTTTTAAAACAATTAATTAATTAAAAATTTAATTGAAGTATAGTTGATTTACAGTGTTTCAGATATACAGCAAAATGATTCAGTTATACATACATACATACATATATTTTTTCAGATTCTTTTCCATTATAGGTTATTATAAAATATCGAATACAGTTGCTTGTGCTATACAGTAGGTCCTTGTTGTTTATCTATTTTATATATAGTAGTGTGTATCTGTTAAACCCCAATCCCCAATTTATCCCTCCCCCATCCCCTTTGGTAATAAGTTTGTTTTCTATGTGGGTCTATTTCTGTTTTGTAAATAAGTTCATTTGTATCATTTTTTTTTTAGATTCCACATATAAGTGATATCATATGATATTTGTCTTTGTCTGATTTACTTCACTTAGTATGATAATCTCTAGGTCCCTCCATGTTGCTACAAATGGCATAATTTCATTCTTTTTTATGGCTGAGTAATATTCCATTGTGTATATGTACCACGTCTTCTTTATCCATTCATCTGTTGATGGATATTTAGGTTGCTTCCGTAAAATTTTTTTTATCTTGAAATCATTTCAAGCTTACAGAAGAGTAATAAGACAAAGAACTTTCATTTACCCTTTACCCAGATGCACCAATTGTTCTTGACCATGTCTCTACTGCATATATGGCCTGATCTGATGTGATCTGTTATAGATCCTCTCCTGGAGCATGTGAAGTTTAGTTTAGGCATCTGGCTCCTTTTCCCTTAACCATTTCAGCAGGTATTCTCTAAGAACAAGGGAGGTCCAATGATCAAATTCAGGAAATTTAAGGTTGCTGCCATACACCTGTCTTAATTGTCAATGATTGTTGATTGTCAATGGTCTACTTGTCAATGACTGTCTAATGTAGTGTCCACATGAACGTTTTGCCAACTGTTGCAATAACATCTTTTAAAGGGTCTCCCCTGATCCCTGGCATGCTTCCATGGTCTTCTTTAATCTGGAACCGTCCCTTGGCCCTTCTTTGTCTGTTGTGACATTGATACTTCTGAAGAGTTCAGGTCAGTTGTTCAAGGTCCCCAGTGTGGGTTTGTCTGATGTTTCCTCGGGGAGCAGGGATGCTACATAAAGATGCTGTGTCCTTGGTGCCTCACATCGTGGGCCACTTGGTGTCTGTTTGTCCCACTCCTGGGGGTGTTAACTTTGTTCACCTCATTAAGGTTTCTCAACAGTGAAGTTACCATTTTTTCTCTTTGTAATTAATAAATAATATGAGTGGAGGTGCTTTGAGACAATGCAAATATCCTGTTCCTTTCCAAACTTTTACTTAGTGATGATTCTTGTCTAAATCAATTATTACTATTATGGTTATAAGATATGATTTTATTTTCTTCTTTTTAAAATTTTTTATTGAAGTATAGTTGATTTACAATATTGTGTTAATTTCTGCTGTACAGTAAAGTGACTCAGTTATACACATATATACATTCTTTTTCATATTCTTTTCCATTATGGTTTATCCCAGGAGATTGAATTTGGTTTCATGTGCTATAGAGCAGGATCTTGTTTATCCATTCTATGTGTAATAGTTTGCATCTACTAACCTCAAACTCCCAGTGCATCCCTCCCTCCCCTCCACTCCCCCTTGGCAACCACAAGTCTGTTCTCTGTGTCTGTGAGCCTAATTCTGTTTCCTAGATAAGTTCATTTGTGCCATATTTTAGATTCCACATATAAGTGATATCACATGGTATTTGTCTTTCTCTGTCTGACTTACTTCACTTAGTATGATAATCTGTTGCATCCATGTTGCCGCAAATGACATTATTTTATTCTTTTTTATGGCTGAGTAGTATTCCATTGTATATATATGTACCATATCATCTTTATCTGTTCAAAAGATGTGATTTTCTAATTCTCTTATTCCTTTGATGTTTATTTATTTTATTTTATTTTATTTTTTCTTAGCCAATGGCTTGTTTTTAAAAAAATTTTCTTATCTTTCTTTATTTTTTAACATCTTTATTGGAGTATAATTGCTTCACAATGGCATATTAGTTTCTGCTTTATAACAAAGTGAATCAGCTATACATATACCTACATCCCCATATCTCCTCCCTCTTGTGTCTCCCTCCCACCCTCCCTATCCCTCCCCTCTAGGTGGTCACAAAGCACCGAGCTGATCTCCCTGTGCTATGTGGCTGCTTCCCACTAGCTATTTTACATTTAGTAGTGTATATATGTCCATGCCACTCTCTCACTTCGTCCCAGCTTACCCATTCCCCTCCCTGTGTCCTCAAGTCCATTCTCTTCGTCTGTGTCTATTTTCCTGTCCTGCCCCTAGGTTCTTCAGAACCATTTTTTTTTTTTTAGATTCCATATATATGTGTTAGCATACAGTATTTGTTTTTCTCTTTCTGACTTCACTCTGTATGACAGACTCTACGTCCATCCACCTCACTACAAATAACTCAGTTTCGTTTTTTTTATGGCTAATATTCCATTGTATATATGTGCCACATCTTCTTTATCCATTCATCTGTCGATGGACACTTAGGTTGCTTCCATGTCCTGGCTATTGTTTTTTTGTTTTTTGGGGTTTTTTTTGCGGTACGCGGGCCTCTCACTGTTGTGGCCTCTCCCGTTGCGGAGCACAGGCTCCGGACGCACAGGCTCAGCGGCCATGGCTCACGGGCCCAGTCGCTCCGCGGCATGTGGGATCTTCCCAGACCGGGGCACGAACCTGTGTCCCCTGCATTGGCAGGCGGACTCTCAACCACTGTGCCACCAGGTGTCCTGGCTATTGTAAATAGAGCTGCAATGAACGTTGTGGTACATAACTCTTTTTGAATTATGGTTTTCTCGGAGTATATACCCAGTAGTGGGATTGCTGGGTAATGTGGTAGTTCTATCTTTAGTTTTTAAAGGAACCTCCATACTGTTCTCCACTTTTCATGTTTATTAATTGTCATTCTACTGTAAGGAAGCCTCCTTCCCCTTCCCTCCCTCCCTCCCTCCCTTCCTTCCTTCCTTCCTTCCTTCCTTCCATCCTTCCTTCCTTCTTCCCTCTCTCCCCCTCTTCTTCCTTCCCTCCTTTTTATTCTTATCACTATGGATTCATGGATTTTCATTTTATTCAATAGGTTATAATCCATTATTATTATCAATTCTGATGCTCACACTGTCCCAGGTTTAGCAAGTGGGAGCCCCTTCAACTTGGTTGCTGTGCCCTTTTCACATGTCTCCATCAGTCTTTGAGCACTCTCTTGTTTTCTGGCACCACAAGATGTCCCAGGCTTGTGTGGTACCTTCTCTGCCCAGCTCTGGCATCAGCCATTTCTCTGAGACACTCTGAGTCCTTTTGGTGAAGGCTGGTATTTATAAACCACGATCTGGGTACCCTGTGGGTACTGAGCAACATTTAGTCTGAAGCCATGAGAAATGGAGCAACACTTACTCATCTGTGTATTAGTCATGCTAACTAGCGTGACCTGGAGAAAGAAGCATATGTGTCACTCATGGAGAGTCTGATGCAGATTAGTGGATCCTGGGAGATTCCATCTTTGCAGCCCTGACGTCCCTGCACGAGGTCATTGCTGAAGAGAAGGCCGAGGAGTCATGCCCGTTCTTAAGATACTTCCAGCAAGGAATTCTGCATCACTTTTGCTCACGCTGCCATTTGCCAGAAGTCCAAGGGAGTCTGGGCAGCACAGGGAACACACAGTCAGTTGGTGCGCCCTTACCCCTTCTAACCACAGTATGTTCATTCATGCAACAAATGTCAACTCGGTTCCTTGTAGCCAATCTGACTCCAAGAGGCTGAGATGACTTCACCTCAGGTGGTTTACAGCAGGGGGAGAAAGGTAAGTAAACAGTAAGTGAACAGACCATCACATGACAGTGGGCTTGCGCACTGTAGCAGGGGTAGGTGCTGTGCGCTGCGCCGATACTGAATGGTTACCTCCCTGGAGACTTGAGGAAGACCCATCTGGGTGGTCCATTGGCACTGGGTTTGAAACGTGAATGGGAGTTCACTCCCACTCAGAAAAGGGTGGGGACGTCTCAGGCAGAGGAGAGAGCCAGGGCAAGGGCAGAAGACCTGAAAGAACTAGGCATGCCGGGAGAAGAGGGAACAATTTGAGGTGGGTAGAAGGTGGGGTCTACTGGGAAAGGCTTGGGAGGCAAGGGATGAGGCTGATAACCAGGTGAGAAGGGCTGTGCTAAGAAGTTTGGAATTAACAGATTAACTTTTGTTAGTTGGGTGAATAATTAATAGTGTGGGTCACAAGGCATCATGGGATGTGTTTAAGCTGATGAAAGATACCTCATCTGTGTTTTAGGAGAATCATCTCGACGGTAGAGCACCGGATGGAAGGGAGAGAAGACATCAAGACACACGGACCTGTTGGGAGGCTCTGGCAACCATGTAGGCATGAAGCAATGAGGACCTGAACTGGGGGTAGCAGAGGGGACAGATGGAAGGGGTTGGCTGTTGGAGCCATTTGAGAACAATGAAACCATAGTGGTTTCCTTTATTGCAGACCGTGTGGTTGATATTATTTGCTCACAATTGTTCCTGGCCTCCTCACATTGCTGTGGCTTCCCTGTGGACAGGGCGTTGTTCTTGCTCGCCCACTGACCTGCTTTGGTCCTGGGTGCATGAGTTGAGTTAACATATGCACCATCCAACCAGAAGCTCCAAGTATGTGCATGGCTGGGGCAACCCTCTTGGCTCCCACCCTGCATCCCGAGAAGGCAAGCCCCAGGGGTATCAGTGGCCTGGGAATGAGGGAGTGGAGGAGCAAACTGAACCTGACCCACAGTTCGGGGCAAAGCTTCCCCAGCTGACCACAGACCATTAGCGACAAATAAAAGTTCGTTATTTTAAGCCACTGAGATCCTGGGGCTGTTTGTTACACAGCATTATGGTAACAAAACCTGACTAATATAGGGGCTTACATGGTTTTGTGTAAGCAGTGGCAACTGCTAAGTACAACATGTTGTTTATTAGTAATATCTCTGCATAGTAGGTATTAGTGTTACCATTTTAAAGATGAGGAAACTGAGGCTCAGAGAAGTTAAGTAACTTGCTCAAGGTCCCACAGCTAGTAAATCAGAGAAGAGGGATTTGAACATGGGACTGTCTGACTTGCAAACCCCTCTTCCATCCTCTATCTACGTGAATATACTAACTTCTGGGATAGCTATTTTTTCCTGCCAGAAATGGCTGCTTTCAGCTTCCTGTGTTTCTGAGTTGGGAGAGGGCTGGGGGCCTGGGGACCAGCCTTTGGGTTTGAAGAGGCCTCCAGGTCACCATCAGTGGATGTGTGCTTGAGGCGGCTTCTCCAGCCTCAGGGATGGAGGCTGATGATTCATCTCTACCTTTCTGCCTGGGCTCCGCTGAGCCGAGCTGAGTGCATTGACAGCCTGGGTGTATCCTATAGCCAAGGAACTAAGCTGTCTTGGTGTAAAACAGAGTTGACTCTTTTGATATCATCAATGGTGGCGGTGGTGGCAGCGGCAGCAGCAGCAGCAAAATCCTGGCTGTTGGCCCACTGATTTAGCCATTTGTCTCAGCAAGCGAATCCAATTTAAAATATATCTTCAGAAAAAGAAGGATCAATGAGTTTAAATAGAGGACTATTTGCTAACCGGATTAGGAAAACCCCCTTTGTGCTAAAATGTTCTAAGTAAATCCTCTTAGTACAATTTTGCAGGAGCCAAAAGTGTGAGAGGATCACTCACTTGCTGTCATCCTCTGAGGGCAGGGCTCTAGCTGGGATAAAATAAGAGAAGGAATTTATTAGCTCCTTAGTTGGCTAGAGTCTGTGCAGACGTGGCTGGGTTCGGAGGCTGACCCAAGAGACTCCTTGGTTTTCGGTTGTTAACCAGCTCTTTTGAAGTATGTGAGAAAGAGCTTGGGTGAGAGAGGGCAGCCACTGCTTACACAAAACCATCATCCCTACCAGGCAGACTGCTCCCTGTGAAGATGGAAGACACAAGGGCTGTAGCACCCTGGCAGCATATTAATTTACTTTGCTTGCCCAAGGTCTTATGGATAGAGAGAAAACTCTCTGTTTCCAAAAATGATGAGAAACCTGATATTTTGGATAACAGAGGAAAGAGTGTTGGAGTTCTGAAATCTGTCCTTTCACACACGAAGCTTCATGCCTCTGAGCCTTTGCACATGCTGTTCCCTCTGCAAGGAATGCCCTTCCAATCCCAGAATGCTGGTGGACTCCGTTCACCACTCCAGCTTGAGTGTCCTCTCTTCTGTGCTGCCCTTCCCTGTGCTGCCCACCCAAACGGGCAGTTCATTCCCCTGTTCTCAGGTCACCACTGAACTTGTTTATTCCCTGCTCTGGGCAGGGCTTTTTCAGTCGTAGGTGACAACTGAAACTCAACTCAGATATGTGTTAGCAAAAGGCTTTTGTAACTGCAAAGAGCAGGGTAGAGGCTCAAAGGTGTCATTCTCTCTCACGCACTCTCTCTCTTTCCTCTTCCTTTTCCCCTTCCCCTCCTTCTTCCTCCTCCACCACCTCCTCCTTCTTCGGGAATGTAAGCCCCAGGAGGACAGGAATGTATATTTGATTCTTCTTCTTCTTTTTTTTTTTTTTTCCGGTACGCGGGCCTCTCACTGTTGTGGCCTCTCCCGTTGCGGAGCACAGGCTCCGGACGCGCAGGCTCAGCGGCCATGGCTCACGGGCCCAGCCGCTCCGCGGCATGTGGGATCTTCCCGGACAGGGGCACGAACCCGTGTTCCCAGCATCGGCAGGTGGCCTTTCAACCACTGCGCCACCAGGGAAGCCCTTGATTCTTCTTGTATCCCCCAGCTTAGGGCAGAGCCTGGGACGTAGTTACGTTTGAGCCTGGCTCAAACATCAATTTTGTGTTAATTAGAAAAAGATGCCCCTTTCTCAATATAATTTACTGCCTTTTGCTGAAGTTTTAAATAATCACTATACAAACCTACCCTGGCTATGACTTGTATACCCCAAACAGCCTCCCCTCCATCTCCCACATAGTAGGTCCTTAATAAATGCTTGCTGGATGAATGAATGGATGAAATTCAGGGAGTCAGAACTATCTGAAAAACCAATGCAAAACAGTGTGGTGAGCTTGTGTGTACCTTTGCTGATTGAATTGTCCATTAGTGTCAGAGTGTTGGGCACAGAGCCCCCCCTTTTATTATTCCTCCACCAATGAAGATTTGTCAAGCACCCACTCATTGTGTTGGTTTGGGGAATTCAGACACAAATAAGATGCAGTTTGTTGATTTAAGAAGTTCAGAGGCTAGAGGGTCAGATAGCCATGTAAATGAATGGTGACAATATAGTGTCACGATTGCTGCCTTATGAGCCAACCCAGGGCTCCACTGGAGCTCAGGATACTGACTCAGTCCAGAAGAGCCAGGAAGGCTTCCTGGAGGGGTGCAGTTTAAGTCAGATCTAAAAGGAGGGAAAGGTACTAACACTGGTAAGTTCTGCATACAACATATAAAGCCATGATCCGTGTGTTTCAGTCTCCAAGCAGTGTTATGTTCAAGGAGATAATTTCTTAACTCAAACTTTTCTTGCATTTCTTAAGTTCTGGGAAGGCAGCAGGTAATCCTTCTCTAAAATTCCCTGTCCCTTCCTATCCACTTTCCTACAGACCCCAGTTCCCTCACCTCATTCACATCAAACTTCCCTGGGAAACCCCACCTTGAGCTTTCAATCCCTTTTCCCACTTTTCTCCTTCTGCTCTTTATTATGAAGACAAACATAATCTCTTCCTCTGGGACCATTCCTTCTTCCTCCAGCCTCTCAGGTCCAATAATGCATCCACTTTCTGACTCTCTTTCACAAAACTCAGGGCAGAAATATCCTTGGAGAGCAGCCCAGGGTAAGGAACTGCCCCGGTACAGCCAGAGGAAAAAGGGAGGCTCAGAGTCACTCATACAGGAATGATTTTGGTATTATCACATTTATCTTTTAAACTACTATGATCAACCCATTTTGAAGATGAGAAAACTGAGGCTCAGAGAGATCAAATAACTTGCCCAAGATCCCACAGCTAGTAAATACCTGCTCCTGCCTGCCATGCTTTCCTTCTCTTATCTTCTCTTTTGCCTTCTTAACTGTGATTTCAACCCAAAGAGACATTTCCCCAGGGAAGGCTTCTCTAGACATTTTGTCTTGGTCAAACCAACCTATTGTACACTTTCATAAGGCTGTGTACTTTTCCTTCTTAGCACTTGTCACAGTTGTAATCGTACATTTCTCTGGGTGATTCTTGGATTAAAGCCTCTCTCCAACACTAGACTATAACCTTGTGGAGAGAAAGGGCAATATATATATATTTATATACCCTTGTATTCCCAGCAAACAAAACAGCATCTGGGACATAATAGGTGCTCAATAAATATTTGCTGAATAAGTGAATAAGAAGCTGAAATTCAAACCCCTGTCTCTAAAACCCAAGTTCTTTGCTAACATCATGTGTTGGTGTTCCCCAGGAGGACAAAGTGGGAGGGAGGTCATTTCAGGGTGAAGAATTACCATATGACTCATTAGGGAAATTACAATGTGTGTGTGTGTGTGTGTGTGTGTGTGTTGATAGTGGTTTGAATCCAGGCTGCATATAGAGGAGCAGCAGTAGAAGCTGGGGCACTAAGCAAGGGCACAATGATTAAAAGACTTAAAAGACCTCGCTTGCCTCAGGATCAAGGATCACAGGGAGCTACTGAGAGTTTTTCATCTGGGGAGAGGCACAATCATAGTTAGATTTGAGAAAGTTCACTCTGCCTGCCACTGAGTGGAGGGTGGAGAGAACCTGGAGGCTAGGGTAGCGTCACTATAAAACAGCTTGGAGAAGGAAAAGTCCTGGACAGGGACATCAGTGGAGAGAGGGGTGGTCCAGCTCCTAGGAGATGGGGAGAGACAGGTGTAAGTGTGACTCCCCTGTTTTAGGCATAGACACCTGGACAGGTGGTCTTGTCATCTCTGGCAGCATAAAGCACCGAAGGGGGAGATGGTTTGAGGTGGGAGAGGCTGCGTAGGGCTGAGCAGGCTGGGTCTGAGAAGTTGCTTCACTTGCAGCTGTTGGACCAGGGTACAGGGGGGGCTCAGGGCGAATGGGGCAGGTGGGTCAGAGTGCAGAGAGAGACTAGGGAGGAGTTGAGAGTCCAGCCCCCATTTCTAGACCCCAACACAGGGTGGGTGTATAGGTCAGCGGATCTCAGATAAGCCTGAGCAGCGTGCTGCCGCCTCCTCCATTTCTCGCCAGCTGCCTTCCACTGAGCTTAACACCGCAGAGAGACCCGGGGACTCACAAGCGCAGCTGTCAGCTGGGAGGGAGGTAAGATCCAGGAACACTGCCCTCCCTCTCCAGTGTCTCCCCACTGTTCTTTTTTAAGAATTTGGGCTTTGGGCCACCTATTCAAGCCTCAGATTCCTCATCTGTTAAGCATGAGATAGGAATCCATCCCTGTAAAGACTGAATGCACCCTGCAGGGAGAAGGCACCTGGCTGGGGCTCTTCCTCACCTGCTGGGTTCATCCAAAATTATTCCCCAAAGGAAAAGCCGTGTAAGGATTGGGGGTGGGGAATAGGCTTTCCCAAGAGGTCACGTTAAGTCCCAATCTTAGGATGGATGTTCCGGGGGAGGCTGGGAGAAGATGTTCCCAGGAGACACCACTTCCTGGCTTCACTGAACCCTTACACCACCCGATGGAGAAGGAAGGAATCGTTTACCCCATTTTGTGGACGAGGAAACCAAGTCCCAAGGAAGTTAAGGAGGACTCTTAAGGTCACACAGCCAGTCCGGAGTGGGACTTAGGTCTATGAGAAATCCAAGGCCATCCTCTTGACCCTACAAACGCCCTTTCCCAGTCTAGAAGCCAGTGATTCTCCCCATTCCTACTCCACCGCCCTGTTCCCCAAAAGTGCCCAGGGCACCTGGGCTGGGCCAGACACCTCTTCGGCTTCCCGGGGCGCGGGTCTGGGTCTTCAGAGGGCCGGGGTCTGGTACTAGAGCGCCTCTCAAACCTGCGGGTTTGCCCCCAAACTCTGGCGGACGCAGCTTGAAGAGTGAGGGCGCCAAGGCATAGGTGGGGCGGGTACGCAGGAGACTGGGGAGTGCGGTGGCGGGGGGCGGGTGCGGGAGCGCGGGCCCCGGGAGCAGCGAGGAACGGAGGAGGCCGCGCAATAGCGCTAGCCCGGCGCCGGCCGCTCCCGGCCCCCGCCCCCTCGGTGGTGGCTCGCTCTTCGCTTATCCGGCTCCGAAGCAGACCCAGCCGCCGTCGCCGGCTGGCGCACTGCCGGCTCCCGGGAACAGCCCCTCCGGCACCGGCCGCTTCCCGGCACTGGAGCGGCGCAACGCGGCCACAGACCCGGTGGCGGTCGAGGAGGCAAGAGGGGTGCCAGCGCGCCCCGGGGCCCCGGCGCAGCTCACGGTGAGCGCCCCCCGAGACTCGGGGATCCCTTAGCCGCGGGTCCCGGGGTACCACCCCCCGGGTACCCGATGGGGCCGCCCGGTGAACGCAGGGCAGAAGTTGGGACCGCGCGCAGCCAGCCTGTGCCGCCGAACTCGATATGCTGCCGCCTGGGCGAAACGGCACCGCCTACCGGGCGCGGTCCCGGCAGCAGCAGCTGGCGCAGGGGGGCGCCGTGGGGGCCTCGGAGGGGGCGACGCTGCTGGGGCCAGCGCAAGTGGTCACGGCCTGCCTCCTGACCCTGCTCATCGTCTGGACCCTGCTGGGCAATGTGCTGGTGTGCGCGTCCATCGTGCGCAGTCGCCACCTGCGCGCCAGGATGACCTACGTCTTCATTGTGTCTCTGGCTGTGTCTGACCTCTTCGTGGCGCTGCTGGTCATGCCCTGGAAGGCGGTCGCCGAGGTGGCCGGTTACTGGCCTTTTGGGGCCTTCTGCGACATCTGGGTGGCCTTCGACATCACGTGCTCCACCGCCTCCATCCTGAACCTGTGCATCATCAGCGTGGACCGCTACTGGGCCATCTCCAGGCCCTTCTGCTACAAGTGCAAGATGACGCAGCGTGTGGCCTTGGTCATGGTCGGCCTGGCGTGGACCTTGTCCATCCTCATCTCCTTCATCCCAGTCCAGCTCCACTGGCACAAGATGGGCTCCTGGGGTGGGGTGGAGCCACCATCTAACCTGGTCAACGGGACGCCCTGGGAGGAAGCCGGGGAGCCAGACTTGAGGGCGGAAAACTGTGACTCCAGCCTGAACCGAACTTACGCAGTCTCCTCCTCACTCATCAGCTTCTACATCCCGGTGGCCATCATGATCGTGACCTACACGCGCATCTACCGCATCGCCCAGGTGCAAATCCGCAGGATTACCTCCCTGGAGAGGGCCGCGGAGCACGAGCAGAGCTGCCGGAGCCGTGAGGCCTGTGCGCCCGACACCGGCCTGCGGGCATCTATCAAGAAGGAGACCAAGGTCCTCAAGACCCTATCGGTGATCATGGGGGTCTTCGTGTGCTGCTGGCTGCCCTTCTTCATCCTTAACTGCATGGTCCCTTTCTGCAGCGGACACCCCGAGGGCTTCCTCTGCGTCAGCGAGACCACCTTCGAAGTCTTCATCTGGTTTGGCTGGGCCAACTCCTCCCTCAACCCCATCATCTACGCCTTCAGCGCTGACTTCCGGAAGGTGTTTGCCCAGCTGCTGGGGTGCAGCCACCTCTGCTCCCGCACTCAGGTGGAGACAGTGAACATCAGCAATGAGCTCATCTCCTGCAACCAGGACACCGCCTTCCACAAGGAGATCGCAGCTGCCTACGTCCATATGATCCCCAACGCGGTGACCCCGGGTGCCGCGGAGGTGGACAAAGGAGGAAGAGGAGAGCCCTTTCAGTCGCACGTCCCAGATCTCTCAGACGTCCCCAGATGGTGACCCTGCTGCCCAGCCTGTCTGGGAGCTGGACTGTGAGGGGGAGATTTCATTATGCAAAATAACGCCTTTCACCCCAAATGGATTCCATTCAACTGCCTAAGAACTGCTCTTTGTGGATCTATATAACCGCGTAGACATTAGCCAGCATGCAGAATACACACTGGACACACACATACATCTCCACTGCTGCTCAGTTTATCATGCCTTCTGTGTCGGTGTAGTAGTCCATGTGCTTAGAAACCTCACCAGACTGATTTGTTGAGGAAAGATTCGGTAGAAGCAGTTGGAAAAAACTCAGTCAAATATACCCTAGCCTAGCAGAGATGGAACAACGGTTCTGTTAGAGAAGATAAGATGGTGATTGATTCTAAAAAAAAAAAAAAAAAAAAAAGTGGTATTTTTCTTTAAAAAATATACTCTCCCCTCCCCTTTTAAATGAATAGATTGTTCAGTGACTTATTTGTGTTTGGGCTGATTTTTAAGCAATAAGGTTCAATGTGTGTGTGGCGCTGATGGAAGTGTGTGTGGCTTTCCTGTATCTTGCTTCCTGTGGCCTGTGTTTCTGTAGTTTCTCCTTGCTGTGTGTCTTTGCTACAGCTGAGGAATTCTTCCCGATTTGTTCTGGTGTCGAATAGACACAAATTATGTATTCTATGGGGTGATTATCGTTGCTTTGCCAGATTGGTTTTCAGGATGGCTCCTAGAGAAGCCATGAGAGCATCTTAAAAGCAGGAAAGATTTTGGCTGGGTCTGGAAGCACCCATTTATTTTCTTTACAGTCAGTTTGGCCTTAAAGGTACACACAGGGGCAAGAGAACTTGAAGAGTTTCTGATATCTCCGAGGAATCTTCTTTTTCTAATTACATAACATAAAACAATTCTCCTGGTTCCTAGAGAGATGCTATCAGTTCATTGAAAAGATCATATAGAATAATCACCTGGTCCTTCTCAACCTCATATCTATAATGTTTTAAAGTTACATGGCTTTTGATCTACCGTGTTTTCTGAAGGGCTTTGAAATGTGTGAGTTGATATGCTTTCAAAAAACAAAACCAGTTTTTAAATAGGCATTTTCATTTGTAGACAATAGGAAGTGAGCGAATGCATTTTAACTAAAATGTAGGAACCAGAGATGATATTTGAATGAACTTGAAATTGGAAAATCGACGAAAAAGCCCAATGAATTCCAGTCTTTTTGTTTTTCTTCTGTGCAGTCTGCGCAGCAAAGGGGAGCATTTAGTTCCAGAGCCACTCCAGACCAGAGCATATTATTACCATTAGATCTAAATGTGAGCGTTGTTAATGGAAGCAAATGAAATGTGAACATGTAATTTCGTACAGGTCCCTACTTTGAAGCACGCTTCTCAAGGATGGTTCAATCAGTTTTGGTCTCTTTAGGGAGAATTTTATTGTCAGTCTCCTGAACAACCAGGTCTTACTCACTGCAAAATGTGCAGTGCCTGGTACATAATGCTTAATAAACTGCTGCTGAATGCATAACTGACTTTCTGGTACGGTGAGATTGAAAGCGAATCCTATTTGATACATTAGTTTTCATATATGATTTAGTCAGATTGATACGGGAATCTGAAGTCTAGTGTTCCATTTTTACCTCTTGTGAGCTGATTGCTAAGTGGACCATTAGGGAAACATCAGGGGCAGTGAAAAGCGCCCTACTCTGAGATTCAGGAGATAGCTGTGTGACCTCGAATGAGTCAACTCACCTCTCTGGGTCTCAGTTTCTGTCTGCCTCTGTAAATTGAAAGACTTATACTAGAGCACAGTTTTCCAAATCGTGTTTCATGATGCAAATATTAGTGGATAGGGTCTAGGGTGAAATAAATTCAGCAAACCGAGGTACAATATCTGTTTTCTACAGGGCTTCTTAGAACTTTTCCTGTGCATCGTGACTCCCCAAGCAGGAGAGAATTCTGCATTGTTCTCCAATGTCTTTGACCTTGTGAATACCTGTTTGGTACAATTCCTTATTACTCTCTCTTTGGAGATCATAGTTTCAGGGAACATAGTTTCAGAAACTCTAATTGATCTGAAAAATCTCTAAAATGCAACTCTTCTATTCTAAAAGACAGGTTGTTACAAGAAAAGTTTTTTGGTGGCAAACGTTCTCGGCCCCAGTTCAAATAATTTCTGTGTCAGGAAACATGGGTTATGTGAGGATTTGGGGAATGCCTTCTGCACAATATCACTCATCATTCATTACAATTAGTTATACCTACTACGTGCTAGGCACTCTTCTAGGAATATAGTTGCCAATTAATTACTCTGAAGTCTGGGAACTTATATTTCAGTGGGAGAGAGACAGCAAACCAACACTATGATACTGTACTGTACTGCACTGTATTATGCTGTCCAGACTCTGAAATGTCATGTCAGGCAGTGATACTGATGTGACGCAAAATAAAACAGAGTGGAGTGATGTGGCTGCCATTTGATTTAGGGAAGTCAAGCAAGAGGCATGAAGAAGAGAGACGCAGATGGAGAAGGAAGGCTCAGGGCGACACCAGTGTCCAGGGGGAGGAGTGCTCTGGGCAGAGGGAGTGGCCAGTGCAGAGGCCTGGACATGGGACTGTGTGGGGCACGCTGGGAGAGAGAAGGGTGGCCGGTGTGGGTGCAGGGCTGTGGAGGGTTAATGCTAACAGCAAAGGCAGGCACTGTAGAGACTCATTCTGTGCCCAGGCTGCGCATGTACGGATTCATTTAATCCTTGCAACCCTGCAAGGCAGGCACTTTTGTTACCCCCATTTTACAGATGGGGGAGTGAAGGCATTGGGAAGCTAAGTAACTAGCCCTGGGTCACATAGCTCGTGAGTGGCCAAGCTGGATTTGAACCGGAGAGTCTGCCCATTGCGTCTTCCTTATCTGCCCTGAGGTGGTGAGAGGGGCTGCTGAGGCAGGCATGGCACTCAGCAAACGCACTGATGCCTGTATCAGAATACTCCTCGTTCATCTGTTCATTAGCTGGTTAACTGATGCATTCCTATATGCTTGGGTAAGCTGATGTTCATTGTGTCCCTGCCCTGGTGCTCCTTTGTGTTTGGAGGGGAGGCAGCAGTGAAAAAAGGAGCCCATATTTTGGCCAGGTACTTTCCTAATCCCTATTTGATCCTTACATTAACCGCACGTACTACTATTTTTCCATTTTACGGATGAGAACACTGAGGCACAGAGAGGTTAAGTTGGTTTTCCAAGGTTAGATGACTAGTAAGTGGTGGAACCAGGGTTTTTACCTAGGCCTGTGGTTCTCAATGGAGATAATTTTCTCTCCCAGGGGACATTTGGCCGTGTCTGGAGACATTTTTTGGTTGCCACAATTGAGTGTGAGGTGCTCCCGCTGAGGCAGGAGATAGATGGGCCCCAGGCTGAGCAGCTGGAGTCGGTCCCCTGTGGACAGATACTCCAAGATGAAGATAATAGCTGGAGCAAGAGGTGCTGAGCCCTGCCCAGATAAGAGATAAAGAGACCACAGATTTCTCATTCTCGAGGCCAAGGAGACCCTCAAGGCTACACATGCACAGAAAGGCTCCTCGGGGGCCAAAATGTGGGGGTGTCATCCCATAGTAGGTGATGTCAACTTAACCATAGGCCTCTTCGCTAGAATCCATCTTGGCTAAGAGATGTGCGTGCACATGGGGAGGACCCTGAGTTATACCAAATACGGACTCAGAGCCAGGCAAAGCAAGATGACCAGGCAGGGGAAACCTGGAAGAAATGCCCCATAGAAGTGATTCAAACTACCACAAGGGTGAGACACTGAGCCTGACTGTGTGTCTACTCACGTGTATCCTTTTTCCTCCTAATAAACACTTTACTTGTTTCACTGCTTTCTGTCTTTTTGTGGAAATTCATTTCTACAGAGCTTACAGGCCGGGGCCTTGTCACTGGCCACTGGTCTAGTGGCTAGCATTCAGCGTTCTCGCTGCCGCAGCCTGACTTCAATTTCTGGCCGGGAACTGAAATCATGTTTCAAGCCACTGCAGGCTGAGGCCACCTGAGATCACTGCCATCTAACGGCTGAGGCCAGGAATGCCGCTAAACTTCCTACTGTGCGCAGGACAGCCTCCCACCACAAAGAATTATTTGGCCCTGAGAGGCCCTAACTCCACATCCCAGCTGCCTGTCACCAAGCCACACTACCTAGGCTTTGAAGCGCCACAGCCTTGAGTTCAGCTTTTAGCTTCCCCTTTCTTAATTGTCTGAATTTCAGCACCTCTCCTAGCTTCAGTTTCTTTGCCTGAGAAATGGGTAACTTAACCCCAACGTTCTGGGTGAGGATTAAATGAGTTCGTGTAACACTGAGATTATTTTCGTGTCGTTCTTTTTCCTTTCCTTTTCTCCTTTATTTTTTTTTTTGCGGTACGTGGGCCTCTCACTGTTGTGGCCTCTCCCGCTGCGGAGCACAGGCTCCGGACGCGCAGGCTCAGCGGCCATGGCTCACGGGCCCAGCCGCTCCGCGGCATGTGGGATCTTCCCGGACCGGGGCACGAACCCGTGTCCCCTGCATCGGCAGGCGGACTCTCAACCACTGCGCCACCAGGGAAGCCCCCTTTTCTCCTTCTTAAAAGAACTCTGCAGTTTGATAAATTTTAAGAAGACTTTGAGGTTCCTAGCTTAGGTAGAACTACATCGTCCTGAAAGCCAACAGCGACGAGAGCTGAGACTCCTCTGGTCTTGTTCCCACAAGGCTTGGTCTCCTTCTCAGCCTAGACCAGTGTTGGGCACGAAGTAGGTGTTCAATAAATGTCGATGTCTCTCCCGACCTCGGTCTCCTACACACACACACACGTACACACACGCACACACACACACACACACACACACACACACACACACCAGGCTCAGGTGATGCCACTGAGTAACTAGGTGTTTACACAGCGAGTCCAGGGGTGGTGTTTTCTGTCGGGGGTGGTGGCAGTCCTCACATTTAGGGCTGATCAAGGGCCTGCAGGGCTGAAAGCCCCACAAGAAATGTCTTCATCATGCAACACACTTGAATGCTCTTTGTAACTAGCAAAGTACCTTCAGAGGTTTACCTTGACAATACCCCCGTGAGGTCCTTCCAGCCTGCCCATTAAAGAGATGAGGCATTTGAACTGGGGAGGGGTCCAGAGACTCGCCCACGATCACCCGGCCAGAGGGACCCACGCGGAAGTTGAAGGTGGCCTTAATTCCTGCGCTCTCTCCACCCACTGCACGGAAGGAGCATGTGACCACAGGCGAGCAGTAAGCACTTCCTTAAACTTTGCACCTCACTCTCCTTACCCTATTCCTGTCTCTGGGTAATGGCAGGAATG